GTTGCAGATAAAAATGGCAACGAACCAATATGTTAATAGTGTGCATACTTTTAAAGACCTTAAATCTTCACAGTCGTTGTTTCCCATCACATCATATCAAGTCGTGGTCAGTATGAGTTACGTACAATGTACGTCTGTATTCACTGTAAATTAAAACTCGTTTCTTGTGACGACTGTCGATAGTTTAACGTAAACATTACTCTTGGCAGAGTTCTTGTATATATTCTGTGTTATTAAAAATAAAAGTAATTGTGTGTCACTAGAGGGCGTCCCATATGGGAGGTGAAGCAGTAGCTTGCGTTTCTACATTTAGCAGCTAATTCATCCCCAAATACTTTCTGTCTTTCTCGTGTCTGTTCTGTATAGTAATTAAACAGGCTTTTTATTCTGCATCTTGCTACATCTACCCGCTTATATTTTATTCTTCCATTTGAGTAATCCAGTTGTCATGGCAACCATCTCGTCTTGTTTACAACCGCATGCTACATGGCTGTGTTTTTTTTTCTCTTGTCCATTGTTCATTTTGCTATACAGAATAATCCATCCGTCACCACCACAACCCCGGCTTCCCCTGGGACTAAATCAGCCTTGCGACGTAAACTAACCCCTCAATTTCCCAAGTACGATGTCCACAGTGACGAGGTATCTCTCTTTTTCTGTTATCATTTTGCACTATTTTTCATCATAACGGTGGTGGCTTTATTTCATCTCATCCTGCAATGGCTTAAACTTTTGTTTTTATTTATTCATTTATTCAGGTTTATTTTGCATTTATTCACTGTCTCCCATTGGCTGACTGCAGCTAATATGTCATGCATTAGAAAATATCAACCAATCAGCTTCACTGTTTCATTCCCAAACATTTGCTATAACTAATTATGTTGCAAAACCTGTTCTGTGTCAGAATTTGTTAGTACATCTGATAGGTTTAGTATTTGTGGAAGTAGTGCCACATATTCTGATGTTTTACTGTTTAATTCATTATATGCCAACATTTTTTTCCACCCAAGTTTTTGTCCATAATTCTTCATAATTTTAAGTGACATTCTATAATTTCGATGTTGCATCAATTACCTACAGATCTTGATTAAAAATTTTGAAATAAAAAAGCAGGTTTGTTTGTGTAAAAATTTGACTTTGGTCGTTCTAGGGGTTAATCAGCCGTTTCCATATTTGGTAGCATTTGTCATATTTCCTTCTGTCACTTGGGGAATGTAGACTGTACAATGTAGCGTGGTGAGTTACCTCTCATCCTGAAGAACTTGTTTCCCCATTTGCTGCTCATTTTAATATACAGAACACAGACAGGAGCTTATCTTGGACAGCTGTATGTCTGCACAAAATCTTGTCTCAATAACCAATTTTTCAACTTAATATGGATTCAGTAATGTACGATGAAAGAATTTTAAGGTCTGATTAGTTTTGTAATCGAATGTAATCATCCAAATATGATCAAAATGGGTCGCATAATTATTATACGAATTTGAAAATCTGTGTATGGTCTCTCTATCTAAGCGTACAAAGGAATTGCCGAAAACAAGAACCCTTGGAAAGTGGTCATGGAAACCCGAGAAATAAGAAAATTAAATTAACCCTAGCCTAATTTGTGTCACCTTTGCTTACGGATCGTGGACATTTTTGATGGTTTCCATGACTACTATCGTTTCCAGCAATTGCATTTGATTCTATCTCTTAATGTACTATGGCTGATTTTCCAAATATGGTGCCAGTATAGCACCTGTAATGACACACTGCTGTCCAACAGATGCTTTCAGTCAGAGCAGTAAAGTTCCAATGTGTCACAATAGCGAGTCGTGCATCATAATTTTTTTCCACCAAATGGCTGACTACTCGACCCTTAGTTTTCACATCGCATTTTATATGACTTTAGTCTTGTGTCTAAAACAAAATATCTTAAGATTTTCTCATCTTTATGTTGTTTTATTTAAACAAACAAAAATCACATCTATTGTCACTTTAAAAGTTGATGCTAAAATTGCCTATCTGTCTGCTTTCGAATTCAAATTCATTGTCACATCCATATTATGATATCTTTTCATTATTGCCGTCATCATGCACTCCATTGTCATTCATTTCATTTCAGTAATTAGCAAAAGACATGTTGCGTATACAACAATTCATAATTATATGTTTTCAGTAAAATGATCCAAGACCTATGCATAAATAATTTACATAAATCTGCATATGATTTGCATACATGCTACTAACTTAAATTATTACATATATTTGCATTTGATTAATTAACGTATCATCGTTTGCATAAGTATAAATTTCATTTACATATAATTCACATACATATGATTACTTACAAATGTTTGCATAAATCTGCATATCATTTGCATATATTTAAATAATATGTGGGTAACATTTACATATTGTCTGTTGGCCTTGGATCTGGGTTAACCTTCATGTCCAGCCATATGTAACTGTGTCATTCACCAAGTCTAGTACTAGAACTAGCATAGTATAGAAATAGATTGCACTATTATTATAGAGTAGTTGCCAAATGTTTTTTATGCGTTTTCCAAAATGGGTAATGTTGATGATATTACTGAAATCTACGCACATGTACATTACTGGGAACAGCTGGTTGGTTATTAGACCCACTGGAAGTTGCTGATTTTCTGCAATGGGACTTTGCTGCTGAAATGAGGATGGAATTATATTCACATCCTTTACTATCTTGATGACCTACTGTGATATTATGCAGAAAAGGCGATAAACTGGCAATAAAATGGTGTCGTCAAGTTCAGAGCTATACTTACTTTATGTTAATTTATAACAAGGTTTAACTTTCAGATCGCAGACTAGATCAAATAACCATCCACACAGTATGTGTGTTCTGGTTCAAATTGAGAACAATTTGGACTTCCGTGTACGCTGTAATCTCATTGTCAAACATACATGTCTGAAAACCTCTATGTGTATATCGACATGAGTATTTTACTAAATCTTAAAAAGAACATTGCGCATTAATTGTGTGAGAGAAAACTGTAAAACTTTTAATGTCGAGAGAGGTAGATTTGTGTGTTTTTCGCAAGTCGGGCAAAATGAAGAAATTTTAACATTTTGCTGTAGCGACTGATCCATTGTATGTTTCCACAACATTCACGGCCATTCTTCAAACGAAAGTGTCTTTCTTACTTTCATGAAATTTCATCCACATTCACAAGCATCCAATTGATAAAATTTGTATTTGCAAGTTCAACAGTTATCATAACTTGTTTAAAAAAAATGTTCGTCGTCATACAGTGTTTATTGTAGTAATGTTGCTGTATACCTCTGGTAGGTAAACCGAACCAAATTTGGCAATTGGTAGAGTTATCTTTTAAAATGAAAACCCAAATTCTGACCACCGTGTTTATTTCTGTAGGTTATTATCAATATTCATCGGCAAGCTGGTGGCCTGGGAATCAGCATAGCTGGTGGCAAAGGGTCAACACCATTCAAAGGAGATGACGAGGTGAGTGTGATAGCTGGCAATAGAGGGCGCTGTTTATAATGCCAGTGCTTGTTCTCTTGAGGGATGATAATGCTAGCGAGTTTATTGCATTGCGTTGTATCTTATATGGGCATCGTGGCGTTTACAGCGTGTGTGAAGTGCATTGTTTGTTTGTTTACAAACAACCGAATATGTGCTCTCTCTGTGATGACTGGTACTGTAAAATGACTAATTTTCACTGGGTTTAAATTTCACTGATTTACCATTTCAGGCATATTCAGTGGGTTTTAAATTCACGGTTTTGTCATTTAGATAATGTGTTCTATGCTAAATTTCACATATTCACTGTGTTTTAATTTAGCGCATTTTTCCATTCAGCGAAATAAGCTAAATTAAAACCCAGTGAATAATTACCCCCTTTACAGTACTTCACTCAACTCTTTGTTATCCTGACAAATGAACATCACATGACTGGACTGTGAATGACATGAATTTTGTTCCTGCTTTGTTATTGGGAATGAAACTAATCGTGATGTGAATTTTCATTTTTGGAATTTAATCAGTGTACTCATGTACGGTGAATAGCATAGCATAGTTATGTGTCCTGTTACCTGAATGTGAAACTTTACTGTAACTGCCAGAGTACTGTTGACAGTGATCAGTACACTGTTATCAGATACACTCGAGTCAAAGTTAGTGTTGGTTAAGTACACAATAACCATCATTAACAACATTGGATCAGATTTTACCTGCAAAATACAAAAATTTCAAACCCACACTTATCATATATTTTGAGTATTTCCTAATTTTAGTTTTATTTATTCTCGTCTTTAGAGTATATTTATATCCAGAGTTGCCGAAGATGGTCCCGCAGCTAAAGCTGGTGTGAGGATGGGAGATAAACTGATTTCTGTGAGTATGACTTGAAAAATTTATTCATATGCTGTTCAATTTAACAAACGGATAAACCAAGCTGAATTACTGCTTTCTTGTTTGTGTTTCACTGATTAAACAATTAATGCCAGAAAAACCTTTTCACTAATAGACTTTCTCACCCAAATTTTTCGGCACTTTATTTAGCTCTGCTGTTGACTTTGTCGAGCAGAGCTTATATGAGTGATTGTCCATCGTCTGGCATCCGTCGTCCGTGTAAACTTTTTACTTTTTTGACTTCTTCTTGAAAACTACAAGCATCAATGCTTTGATACTTGGTGTATATGTACCTCTAATTTTGGTGAATATTTTTGTAATTTTTAGTAAAAAGCGCCGTTTTCGAATTCTTATTGAAAACAGCAAGTCCGATTGCTTTGATACGATACATATTGTTCATTTTCTGATGATATCTTCAGTTCTTTAATTGAAATGTACATTGCTAACAGCGGAGCTATCTCAGCTATCTATTTTCTTCATTATTTCTGGGAATTAACCCTAATTTTGGAATTAAACAGTCAAAATTTGAGTAAATTTTCATTTTTTACTCAAAATATTTCGCTATTTTTGTCCCAATTGTCTGAAGGAAAGTGCAGACTGTATAAACATGACTATTTTGTGGATTGGTGGTGTAAAGGTTAAGATATTTTGACAGTTCAAATAGTATTTGTGAAAACATGCATGTTGCATGTTATGTTAAAGTAAAGGATGTGTTTAACCTTTTATTATGATTGTTATTTTTCAGGTAAATAATGTAAATTTGTTAAATGCCGACCATCTGATTGCTGTTGATGCACTTCGAAAGAGTGGTAACACCGTCAGAATGGCTGTGTCTCGGGAAGTTTACACACCCTCTGAAGAACCGGTGAGTCTAGCGACATTAGTTTATTCAAGTTTTACCGTAATCAATAACTTTAATGTTAGACAAGTATTTTTCCAGAGTACATTGGAAGTACAGCAGAAAAATACTATGAACGAGAGTGCTACAGATAAAGTTTCCTCCTCTCGTATATCGTATAGCCGCAGCACAGCTTTTGTCAAATTCAGAGTCTAAATTTGAATATTTTAAAATTATGTGATAAATATAAAGTATATATTAAGCTAAAATAAGTTAAAGTTACAGAAACAGTGAGAATGAAATTGTTTGTCGAAAAACTGCACTTTTGAATGGATTGGTGTTGGTCATGGTCATAAGTAAGTCGGATATTAATGATACGGATGTAAATTTATGCATCCTCCATTGAGTCTATGTTATGAAGCAAAGTCTAACTGATCGGGATGTTTTTTGTTCAACTTGTAGCCACCTGTTGAGAAAAAAAGTCAAGTTTCATTTGCACCGGAACCAGAGGTGCAGGTTGTAATGGACGTGAGTTATTTTACAAATTATCTGCACCATCCGTTGTAGAAATGTTAGAATTCAGAAAGTGTTTTGAAAAACTAACGGCATATTTGCATATGAAGTTTTATTTTAGTCATGACAAAAATTTGACTATGGTTGATTTAAATATTTAATTATTCACTAAATTTTAATTTAGTTTTTACTGATAAGTGAAATTTTAATTAGATCCATGTAAAAAATGTCAAATTACAATAAAACAAAGTTTTTAAGTAGAAAATTTTTGAATTTAAAATTTGAATTGCCAGTGAAATATAAATGCTTTTACAGTAACTTAGTTTACTTGTGCCTGTTGATCATTTTCTCTCTGATAAATTAATACTCTTACTTCATACTCATATTTTGTTATATAAGTTTGTGTTTCTTGTCCTCAATCTATATTGTTCTGCTCAAACACGATTTAAATTTTTTAATTTTTGTCAAATAAATATTTGTTACCTGAATTCCAGATTTAATAAGGTAATCAATCAATCAAGACAAAGTCACAGGATTAATTAAAAGTAATATCTAAATAATCTTTATGTTATTTTTCTAGAAATTAACCATCACGCTGAATCGTGATGAGAAAGGTGGTTTGGGTTTCAGTATTGCTGGAGGCACTGGATCAACGCCGTTCAGGGGAAATGATGAAGTAAGTGATATCAAGTTAGAGTAGTAACTGGAATATATTGTTACCGTAATAAAGTATCATAGGTCAACATTGTTAAGACATTTACTAATTTAATTTACTTTACATCTAATGTTAATTTACTCGTCTTGAAATGAAATGAAAACATCCCAATCCACCAATACTTTTTTGTCATAGTAGTGGTAACATTTCTGTCATCCAGTATCGTTGTCATCGTAAGCTTTCTTGTAGGCACGATAACTCCTTTAATATTTAGTCAATTGCTATTAAACTTGTATATATCTGTAGATATAGTTGGCCTGTATAGATTTCAGAGTTGATCTTCCAAAAATGTATTTTTGGTGATTTTTGAAGTGTATATAATATCTGTTGGGGAACTTCATAGTGTAGAGTGTTTGGCCTTTGCATGTGGAAGATTAGGAGTTCAAATCTCATTGCTAAGCCAGCCAAGCAGTTGTGTTACAGCAAAGTGCAGAATTGGTATTCACAAACTGTCGGTCAAATTCGTGACAGAGCAAGCCCTAATATTTGCTGTAAGGAGATGATTCTAATGATGAGACACGGGTTCTTTAACTGTTACATTAAATACATTTATGATTATTTTGAGTGTAAATGAGACACGCATGTGATTGTAGTAACGCTATATTGGTAACTCGGATGAATCTTATTTCTGGTATTCACGTTTCTGCGGCCATCCTGACACATTTGCGATTATTTTGTGAATGAATCTTATTTCTGGTATTCACGTTTCTGCGGCCATCCTTACACATTTGCGATTATTTTGTGAATGAATCTTATTTCTGGTATTCACGTTTCTGCGGCCATCCTTACACATTTGCGATTATTTTGTGAATGAATCTTATTTCTGGTATTCACGTTTCTGCGGCCATCCTTACACATTTGCGATTATTTTGTGAATGAATCTTATTTCTGGTATTCACGTTTCTGCGGCCATCCTTACACATTTGCGATTATTTTGTGAATGAATCTTATTTCTGGTATTCACGTTTCTGCGGCCATCCTTACACATTTGCGATTATTTTGTGAATGAATCTTATTTATTTTTGTTTCTGCAGGCTATCTATATATCAAGAATTGCAGAAGGTGGTAAAGCTGACACTGAGGGCATACTTCAAATAGGAGACAAAATAATTGCAGTAAGTATAGCCTAACTGATTGCTTGTTACATTTCTATTTCCAGTTCATCAGTGTCCAATCATTCTCACAGTTCTCCAATGTTCGACATTTTTCCAAATAAGGGCATGATGTTGTTTTCTTCCTGCTTGTGTAAACATGCAGCTATATTTCTCAGATATGCTTGGAAATGGCTCATTACGCGCATTTATATATGCCTCTCTTTCCAACCATAAAAACCATAATGTGTTTAGATCTTTACTAGAAATCATAATTGGGTACATCTAAGTCAGATCTGATATGTACTACTGTAAAATACTTTATTTTAGCTGGAATTAAGTTTCGCTGAAAAGACATTTTGAGTGTTTTGTATGGAATTTATTTTCACTGATTTTTGACAAGTTAAATGTAAAATATAGGGAAAAAGCTATATTCGCTGGATTTTATTTTTACTGAATCATTCCTTCAGCGAAAATAAGTTCCAAGCGAAAATAAAGTATTCTACAGTATGCCCTTTTGCAAAAATTGCCACTTTGACTGTGAAATAAAATGACAGGTATAAACAACGTTGTTCACGGTGATAACTTTGTTTTGTAGACGCAAACTGCTAAGCAAAAGACAAGATAGCTATGTTTGACAAAACCATAGATGTTTCCATTGTTAATGCGGGAGGGTTGTCACCTGTGCACGTGTGGGAATTGAGTCTCAAGCGACGATAACACACGCTAAAAACGCAAAGGCTCATGGGCAGACGCTTGTTTGTAAACAATGACATGCTATGGCCATCTGACGCATATGCAGGTGACAACTCCCCCCGCTTTAAAATAAGTAATTTTTAAATTTTTTTAGTTTTTCCAAATATGTTAATCTAATTCCAAGCAATCACTATGAAAGTTGTGGTGTCCAGTGCATGAAACTGTCGATTTTTTTTTTTAAATCGGAGCAATTTTCTCAATTTCTTGTGATAGATCAATTCCGTTGATGTGACCGATGCCAGGCACGATCAAGTCGTTTCCTTACTGACATCATCAAATCAAATATCGTTGACGATATTGAGGGAGTCTGTTGAAGTCAAAGAACCCGAAATTCAAGGTGAGTTATTGTCTTGTGTGGTTTGTGCAGTCTTGCTGACATGACGGCTCATTATGTATGCATCCTTATACATTACGTTAATGTTGTGAACCTAATTTATTACATAATCCTTCCCAACATGCAGCGCTTTCGCATTTATACATGCTTTATATAGCTGTTAACTTTAATCTTTTCACTACCGGACTTTCTCGGCCAAATTTTTTTGCACATCGCCCCAGCTGAAAAATTGTTAATTGATCGGTTGATTTACTGTTCCACCACCAGAGGTTCTTACCCTAATTTTTCTGCACTATTTTCTTATATATTCTTCAAATGAACTCTTAGTTTGGAGCCAACAGACAAAATTTGAGTCAATTTTCAGTTTTTACACAAAAAATTGGGCTTTTTTTGTCTTTTTGTGACAAAGTGCAGACTATAAATAAAATTTGTAATGAAAAGAGGGAACCATTTTCTGTGGTATGTGTAATGTTTGTGAGTCAATAAAGACAAACACTGTTGCAACACGTGTGGCCACGTCCAAGCTTTATTCCAGACTGCCCGTACTCCCAAAATCTACGGACTCCCCAGCACAATTGTCATTCATAACATACTACAATGAACTACTGACTCCCTAGCATAATTGTCATTCTTAATATATTACAGTATGCAACATTTCTATGCAGTAAACATGCAATTGCATGAGCTTAGCTAAACATTTATATATATTGATGATTGTGCTTGATCATCATATGTTGATGTTCTTTTTTCGTTTACCATTAATATTATTGTTTCCCCACCAGTTAAACAATCACAACCTGTTGAGGTTGCCATGGTGAATCATATCGAAAATGGTGATGATGAGGAAGAGGAGGACGAGGAGGATGAAGATGAGAAACCTGAGACGCCAGTTTTCGAAGAAGAGGTAATCTTATCGCTCCCACTGCAAGAATATTTTCTGACAACGTATCTTTGCAAACGCTAATGATGAGTCCGCGAACTGTCTTTCTGTGGTGATCAGCTTTATTTTTCAATGTTTTATTTTACTCACGCAGGAGGTTGTGTTAGTTCGACAAGGCGGTCCACTTGGGTTAAGTATCGTTGGCGGTAGCGACCACTCAAGTCATCCGTTCGGTCAAGATGAGCCAGGAATATTTATATCAAAGGTATGAAACATCAACCGTGTATTTTTTTTCTCACAGATGACTGATCTGTTTTCTGCTTTGTTTAGATTTGCACATTGACACATTTTGTCTTGTGTAGATTTATCTGTTCATAATTATTTACATTTCAACATTTTCAGAGAATTTTTTTCAACTATTATGTGAACCTGTAGCAAAGTTTAGCAGGATTTTTTTAACAGTAGCTTGGGGAGCTCATTTTTGCAATTCTTGTTGTGTGACGTCGGCCATCTTGAAAAGCATAATACATACACATGTACCTGTTAATTTTGAACATGTGACTTTTCAACTTTCAAATGCACTTTGTTCTGCTTAAATTACAAAACAATGTTGGAAGATAATTATTGGCCGTTATTCACGGAGAGTCAAGCCTGTCATTCTGTGTACTTTTTTGAAACCGATTGTATGTAAATGTAGTTCTATGTTTGCTTACCGTATTTACTCTATTAGATGCGCTTATAAATCCAAAAAACACATATGCTGTGTAGTGAGTCATCAATATATTACTTACTTTGACCACAGAAACAACTTTGGGCAACTAATACTGTAAAATACTTTATTTTAGCTGGAATTAATTTTCACTGAAAAGACTTTTTTGGTGTTTCATATAGAATTTATTTTCACTGAGTTGAATGTAAAATATAGGAAAAAAAGTATTTTCGCTGGATTTAATTTCACTGAATCATTCCTTCAGCGAAAATAGCGAAAATTATTATGCAGAAGCTTATTGTTTAAGTATTTTACAGTAGAGCAAATACAGTATTTTTCAATAAAAATTTCTCTTTCTGCTATTTCCTACTGTACCTGTAACAGTGTGATTATACATTTTTTTTTTATCAACAGATTGTGCCTGATGGTGCTGCTGCTAAGACGCCACTCAGGATAGGCGACAGAATACTTGAGGTAAGTAAATTTACTTTTAGAAATATTCATCAGAAATATTCATATTTGGATCATTTTAACGCATCAACTGCTGAGGTCTTTATTCTGTGAAATATTATGAAAGTTTGCTTTGACGTTCAGAGGGTTGATTAAGTTTGTCATTGCATACCAAGATAATAATTATGATTGGCTGGCTCCTAAAAATAAAATATAACATAAAAATGTTGAATTGTTGTTGTTTTTGTTTACTAGGTGAATAACAAAGATATGAGGGCAGCGACACATCAGTTTGCCGTGTCCGCACTGCTCGAGAACAGACAAAGGATAGTGTTGCGAGTAAGACACGACCCACCACCGGAAGGACTAGAGGTAAAATGCGCTTTGCTCTATACTATTGCTGAATTGCCATATTTGTAACAAGTTTTATATTTTAAAAACATATAAATAGCTAAATACAAGGCATGGTAGATATGGACGCATTGCATAACTTGAGCAGACACTCCCGTATGGCATATTTTCGGTTTCTTTGTCATGTTAGAGTAATATACTAGTACGAGGACAAACAATCTTAGAAGACTATTCTGACTAGAAATTTTGTTTCAATGCATAGTACTACAAATGTGAATGATAATGAATGCTTGTTTATTTCTATAGGAAGTGTATATTCACAAGACTCCAGGCGACAAATTAGGAATTAGTATCCGTGGCGGCAGTAAAGGTCACCCTGGCAACAGTAAAGGTCACCCTGGCAACCCATTAGACAAGAGTGACGAGGGTATCTTTATATCAAAGGTAGTTACTATACCTTTCCAATCATTTGTGCTCAATAACAGCAAAGTGTTTCTGTGATCACGGAAATGACAGAGTGTTCATGATGTTAATGTATATTGCTCAAATAGACTGTGACTGATCATGAAGTTTTTTAGAACATAGCAAATCTTTTTTTTTTTATTGGTGAACGACCCATATACCATAAACCATTTATATTCAGTGACATTTGATTTCACTATTTCGATGTATTGAGCAATTTCACTGGGTTTTAATTTCACAAACTTGGCAGGGAAACAATGAGTTCTGATGTTATGTTCACATGGATTACACGTATCAGCAAAGATGAAGAAAGCTAGTCAATAATGAATGCGTTTAGAGTATCAAAACTGCATTGATGATATGAACAGTGTTAACTTTCTATACGATAAACTCTCGACATGCGCTGGAGTAAATATCTGCTTGACCTTTGTGACCTTTGTAGAGTCAGCTGCGCATATGCAGTACATACACGTACTTGTCATCTCTTGCGTTTCTATAGTAACGAAGTAACAAACCATTTTCCCATATTGTTGATTTTGTACTTTATTGAACAATGTCACACATGTACATCACTGCGGGAAAGTGCAAATAATCGTTTTACATGATTCGCTGGATGCCAGTGATGCAAAAAAAAAAAATAGTGTCTTCTGTTTTGAGCAGCATGATCATGCATGCATTTTACCGTTCGCAGGTCAATTCACAGGGAGCTGCAGGCCGAGACGGACGATTGAAAGTAGGAATGAGAATTTTAGAGGTAAGAAACAATTACTAATTCAGTTTTCTTATGAGCTGAGCGTGACCAAACGACCTGAACATTACCATGTGACCTAAATGCTATCATGTGACCCAAACACAAATGACATTATCTTAACATTACCATGTGACCTGAATGCTATCATGTGACCCAAACACAAATGACATTATCTTATGACTTCTTAAATCAATTTGCAGGTGAATAATCAAAGTTTACTCGGTGCCACACACGCAGAAGCTGTTCGTTCACTTCGCAGTGCAGGAGAGAAACTTATTGTTTTAGTATGTGATGGGTATGATCCCATCAAAGTCGCTGAGTTACACGGTACTGCTGGAGTCATTTCCAACCCATTAACAACCAGAACAAGCCAAGAAAGTATATGCTCAATAGACAGAGACACATCACAGGAAGATCTCCACGTTATGAAACAGGTAAGTTTGGTTTTGCTTCACCCTCCTCTCTCTTTTCATGCATGAAAATATCTCTGATGTCCATCCACTGTTATGCTAGCTGTTCTCCTGCACAAAAAATAGGATGACCCATCCTCTTTCAAGAGATATTTCTTCACTCAAATGAATAAGGTTTGCTCCAACCTACTCTCAGACATTCCATTTACTGTTCTTCTGCTGATTGACCCATCCTATTTCTTTCTTTACTCGGACAAAAAGTGGTTCTCTTGGCCATCTGCCGGCAAAATTATTCGCAATCTCTCAACTGAAATGCATCACACGTACAACATTGCAAGAAAAGGGAATTCATGTTATGTTAAGACTCTGCAAAAACTAAAATGAAATTTCCTCCAAGACAAGATCATTCATTTGAGCTTGCGGAATATTTCCAGGAATTCTGTAAAAATTATTAAGAAATACACAAAATTCAAGTATTACTATCGTCACAAACTGAATTATTTGCTTGTTTCTTGCCTATTATAACTGGTAATGCTTATCATTGTTCAAGGCTTGATACAACGTGCAGACTCGACGGCCGTAGTGCATTATACTGGCTATAACGCTTGGAGTGTCATTTTTTGGACCCCAATGTTTTAATATGAATATTTGCATGTACTGAGCACCACCTTGACTGAGAACATTTAGTGGAAACTCTTTTTTTGAATGCATTTATTTTTATTTTTATTTTCTCATTTGTAGCCGTTCATTTGACTGGGTTTGCATGTTGTTATTTTCTGGCATTGGGGGCAAATATTATCATACTGAATCATTTGATTTTTTTTGCTTTGAGTGAGCAAGCCTCAATAATGCAAACACTTGTACAAGAATAAATATCTTGCGTATGTGGAGACGTCACTTTGGACAATATTAAAAACAAAACTGTCAGTAGCCATGATATATTTTTATGTCCATGTGATTGCCCAGGTGTGAAGTAAGCAAAGCAATTTTTTTGACACCATGATTTCTTTTTCATTCACCATGAATAAATCGTTAATGATATCTTTTTTTTCCAACCAACTTGATGACGAGAAACGTGCAAAGAATTTCATTCACACATTATGCAAACTCCAATTCTGTGTAGGTCAAGTTTTCAAATATTTTGGCTGTTTCATCTGCTTAAGGTACCAGTGTATACATGTATATTTAAGTTAAAGCAAGAAAAATGAACACGAAAGACAAATATTTGTTATTTTTGGGAGTCGGAATTCGCCACGAATACCATGAAATTATCGCCGACATGAGAAATTGACGTTGTAATAGTTCCACTCAGTATAGAATACAAATTGTTTAAATTACAGTCTGTCCCTGGTCCATATTTTTCATAGAATTAGACAAAATAAAAATCTAAGTTTTGACACACAGGATAAACCCCTGATCAGTTTTTGTGTTTTGATAATTTTTGAACATTCGCAAGACGAAATGTCAGAAAACCCCAGTCTACTACAAAATGTCGTGATTTTCCCATACTCCCATATTTGCAAAGTTGCGAACTTTTATATACAGAAAACTAATCACGGCTGCTCCAAATTTGTTTTTCCTATCCACAGCCAAGCATTTATTTGCATGCTGTTTCTTTCCTCCAGAAATCGAGTTGGAAAGGTGGCGGCGCCATGGCCAGGCTTATAATCATGATGATTATGTTCACTACAGTAACAGCTACATGGCTCCTGGTACTGGCCAAAATTATAAATGACATTTTTTAAATATTTTTTCAGCATGTGCTAGGTGTCAGTGAATTGGGGCTTGTTCAGTGATATTTGTCTTGCATGTGATGTTGCAAAGTTTTTATTTACTTTTTAGCTCACGCTGTATTTTCACTCTAGAGCACACTCTCATTTCCAATATGGCTTTAATACACCATGCACTTCAGCCATCTTTACTTGGAATCATGGGATAGAGGTGAAAGGTTGTAATTTGCATGTATAATTGATAATTTGCATGCTATTCTATAAATAGGATGCTGACTTCCAGAGGGAGGTGTCTGCTACTTGGGAAAGAGAAGATCTCAAAAAATTGGTAAGAGCTGTCTTTTCTCTTTAGCTTTTGGAAGTATTCAGGGTTTTCTGGAAAGCATTTTGAAAATAAAAAAATAAAGTTTTCATGGAAAATGGGAAAGAAGAATTTTTTAAAACCAGATCATGTTTGCCCCAAATGGTTAGCATCAACTCGTCAAATGATTTGTTTTATATAGGTACATGTCTCATGTTTGTTATTACCCAATTCCACATTTGGTATGAGCCAATTCCCATGTTTGGTATGAGCCAATTCCTATATTTGGTATGAACCAATTCCCATATTTGGTATGAACCAATTCCCATATTTGGTATGAGCCAATACTATATTTGGTATGAGCCAATTCCCATATTTGGTATGAACCAATTCCCATATTTGGTATGAACCAATTCCCATATTTGGTATGAGCCAATTCTATATTTGGTATGAGCCAATTCCCATATTTGGTATGAGCCAATTCCCATATTTGGTATGAGACAATGCCATATTTGGTATGAGCCAATTCTATATTTGGTATGAGCCAATTCCATGTTTGGTATGAGCCAATTCCATGTTTGGCATGAGCCAATTCCATGTTTGGCATGAGCCAATTCCCATATTTGGTATGAGCTAATTCTATATTTGGTATGAGCCAATTCCATATTTGGTATGAGCCAATTCCCATATTTGGTATGAACCAATTCCCATATTTGATATGAGCCAATTCCCATATTTGATATGAGCCAATTCCCATATTTGGTATGAACCAATTCCCATATTTGGTATGAACCAATTCCCCATATTTGGTATGAACCAATTCACATATTTGGTATGAACCAATTCACATATTTGGTATGAACCAATTTCCATATTTGGTATGAACCAATTTCCATATTTGGTATGAACCAATTCCCATATTTGGTATGAGCCAATTCTATATTTGGTATGAGCCAATTCCCATATTTGGTATGAGCCAATTCCCATATTTGGTGTGAACCAATGCCATATATGGTGTGAACCAATGCCATATTTGGTATGAGCCAATTCTATATATGGTATGAGCCAATTCTATATATGGTATGAGCCAATTCCATGTTTGGTATGAGTCAATTCCATGTTTGGCATGAGCCAATTCCCATATTTGGTATAAGCTAATTCTATATTTGGTATGAGCCAATTCTATATTTGGTATGAGCCAATTCTATATTTGGTATGAGCCAATTCTATATTTGGTATGAGCCAATTCTATATTTGGTATGAGCCAATTCTATATTTGGTATGAACCAATTCTATATTTGGTATGAGCCAAATCCATATTTGGTATGAGCCAATTCCATATTTGGTATGAGCCAATTCCATATTTGGTATGAGCCAATTCTATAATTGGTATGAACCAATTCCCATATTTGATATGAACCAATTCTATGTTTGGTATGAGCCAATTCTATATTTGGTATGAACCAATTCCCATATTTGGTACGAACCAATTCCCATATTTGGTACGAACCAATTCCCATATTTGGTATGAACCAATTCCCATATTTGGTATGAGCCAATCCCATATTTGGTATGAACCAATTACCATATTTGGTATGAACCAATTCCCATATTTGGTATGAACCAATTCCCATATTTGGTACGAACTAATTCCCATATTTGGTACGAACCAATTCCCATATTTGGTAAGAACCAATTCCCATATTTGGTATGAACCAATTCCCATATTTGGTATGAACCAATTCCCATATTTGGTATGAACCAATTCCCATATTTGGTATGAACCAATTCTATATTTGGTATGAACCAATTCTATATTTGGTATGAACCAATTCTATACTTGGTATGAACCAATTTCCATATTGCTAAAACTATAGCACTTGACTGATGCATGCATGATTTTTGATGATGCAAGAAAATCTCCCTTTCTCCTCAGAATACATGCTGCCACATGATGAACAGTTGCTGCATCCCTCCTCTCACCTACCTTCCCACCCCTACTCCCTTTTCTAACCTTCCAAACTGTGATGTATCCCAGATAGACTTGCAGTATTGCATGTGAGTGCACCGTATGTTGTACCAAACCAATTTGGACATGCAAATTACCTCCTTTGTGATTCCAGAAACTCTCAATCCTGAGTGCTTTCAAAACTACACTCATCATCAGTAGTACCCTCTCCCAATCTTAGTAGCTGTCATAAGGAATGCAACTATTTTTTTAATTTAGTCATTGGTATAGTGTTGGTGTCGTTCGTATTTCAATAACATGATCTGACGTAATTTTTCCTTCTTTTACTACGTATATTACACACAGACTTACGTGAAGGTAAAATACAACGAAATGACATTTATTTGATATTTGTGTTTACGAGTTCATCGTCAAAATCAGAGAGTAGTATTTGTTTACATTGATTAAAAGTGTTTTGTAAATATTAGGCATCTTGCACGTTACTCCTCCCTGATAGGTCTACTATCATGTAAATAAATGACATGCTGTGATGTCACTACAAACAAAGCAACTTCTCGCCAACATTGTGCCTCGCGCAGTGTATGCAAATGGCGCTGTGACGGTGTTAATCGTTAATCATTTGTGAACAAACGAAAGTTCACATTTCAATCAACAAATTAAATCATATGTACCACTTGACATTGTTGGCTTCCGTATCAAATTTGTACTTTTAATGTTTGAATGCCGTGCAAAAATTTTTTTTTCAAAATTTATTTTGGACCAAATTTCATTATTGACTCCATGTTTTGACCAACTTGTGGTTTTGTTTGTACTGTTGTCACCTCATAATATATATTTTGGGTTTCATTTCCTTCCATGATGCAGAGGTCAAACATCCTGGAACACTTTCTGGTATATGGTTCCATGTTAAACTCTCTTCGCCTTCAACTTCGTCGTAATTTTTTCTTACAACAAAATGTTTGCCCGTATAAATTTATTTTCTCAGAATTTTTTTCCACCATTATTTGTTTCTGAGCTGAAAACATACAAGATTGTTTTGAAAAAATTTGGTATAAAGCTTTAAAATTGTTTTCTTGCGTGACAAGGAAGTACGACCTCTAGGTCAAGGGTTATGGGAAATGACCTGTTATATTGTGTATCACAGAGAAACAGTCTATCGTATCAATTGCACTTCACTGTGTATTCAGTGTAACCCTGTGCTCACTATTGGTAGCTCCTAGCGTACATCAAAATAATGAAAATGTATTTTCCAATCAGTTTTTCACTGGGCACGAATTAACCCAAATTTTCCCAGTTCATGTACTTTTACATTGACCAGCGTTAAGGGTTAATATGCTTCAAAAAGGTTTTAATAACCTCACTATGTCAATGTGAATGTAGAGATTTTTCTGTGGATTTCCTGTATGTGATAGATAGTTATACAAGAAGACTTGCGTACTATCGTCGGCAGATTTGCATCTCAGAAACTCATCTCGAATTCAAAAGCAGCAAAATAACTAAAGGTCACTGAACTTTTAACAGATTCTCGTAAATAATGGGGAAAATACGCTGACCCTCAAATACTATAGAATACTCACTTTTTTTCACTTGAAATTTATTTCTGAAGCGAAAATAAAATCTAGTGAAAATTCCTTTTCCCGCTTTAAAAAAATTAACCAACTCAGTTAAAATAAATTACAGCTGAAATGGAGTTCGTTTCAAGTGATGTCACAAAGCATGACCGAATTATTCATGAAGGTATTTAACTCGCACAAACCTACGAGACTGACATATTTATAAACGTTGTGGAGTTGAAATAATGTTGTACAGGGTTTGTTCAGACAATGAACGTTTTGTGATTCTGAGAAATCGCAAAAAAACAACAACAAAGCACTGCCAATGCACTGTGAAAATTGTCCTTGTCGCTTGTGCTTGTCATGCACATTTGATCTGTTTCAAGAACTGAGTACTATTCTACAATAACGCGAGTTTTATTTCTAGTAAGATTTTGTATTTGTGACCATATTTGGTCGTCTCTGTGATTGGTATGCTGTACACAACACCGAATGGGATATGAGGTGTATGAACGTACCAAATAACCTCTTTCCCAGATAGACAGTCTTGGCCGTGTTCCTCTGCGTCAGCACTCGTGATGCTGTATATTCTGTGCACAGCTGCGTGCATTGAACTTTTAACCCTTTCTCGTCCAGATAATTCACTTATTCATGATTTCCTGAATTAAGATTTATTCAGTTATGCATCCAGCTGATTGAATATGATCATTCTAATATTTTGCTGAAATGTACATTTGCTTCAATTTTGAACTTTCATATTTGTTTTGTTTGAGAAGATTGATGAAAGTGGACAATAGCGGTGAAAGGGTCGAAGGTCAATTGTCTTGCAGCTTTAGTTGTACTGCGTGTTGTGTCCTGTTTGTTCGTACTTTCAAACTTTATTTTCATTTTGAATTGTAGGAAGCGCTTCGACGTCAAAGAGAAGAAGATACAATCAAGATAGAAAAAGAAGGGGTAGGCTAAACTATTATGGGATGTTGCATAATTTCGCTGTTATTTTAAAGATGGACTGTGATATAAAAACATATGAAATAAATCGTGTGAGGGAGACATAGTCGGAGAAGGGTGGGGCTTGGAGGTATACTACATTACTGTGAAAAGAAATGAATAAAATTTGACTGGAGGTGAAATATTGTTCTACTCTGGAACTCAATGAGTTGTTCAATAAAAATTGTTATGCAATAACATTTTGCTTCTCTTTATTTAGTTATTATAATTTCTTTGATATTTTCGTTTAAAACAATGATTCATGTTTACCGTATTTGCCTTCAATTAGGCGCCACTTTGTTACACTTTCATGTCACGGTGGCGCTTATTTGTGGTTAAATTTGAGCAACTTTGTTTCAAATGGCGCTTATTTCAAGCACTTCAAGTTCTAGTACCGGTAACTGTGTTACAAGCCATTGTTTTTGCTCCATTCTGGTGATAGATTATTGACAATATTTTACATTACAGTCTGACGCTTAGTCACTGTAGCCTTTATTTTAAATACTGAGTAAATGACCCATTTTCAGACAGTTTAGAAAGTTTGGGTATATTGTGAATGGAAACCAAAGTTTACTTTGGGTTAAAGGTCAAAAGTTTGAACTAAAAGTTTTTTTTCATTTGATGTTGCGTTTCCACTCTTTCCCAGGATGCATTTCACCAAGCATTGGCAGACCGAGGAATGATTGTGAAATTTGACGATAGAAGTAGCGCTGAGAATTTGGTGAGTATTAGGTTGAGTGCATTTTTAGTCCCTGTTCGGACGTAGTCCGAAAACGGGGACTTATTTTTGCCCTGTGTGCGTCTGTGCGTGCGTGCGTCCGTGATCACCTGTATCTCGAACATGCATGGACCGATTAAGTTCAAACTTCACTCATACATCACACATTATATGGGACATATGCATATGCATTTTTTTCATGATCCGATTAACGATAGCCGAATAGCGGCCATTTTAAGGCCGAAAATGCATCAAAATCACACATTTTCACCATTCCGGACCCGGATCTCAGTTATGCATGGACGGATTTTGTTCAAATTTGGTACATACATTAAACATAATAGGACCTTGATGCACGTCATTTTTTTTTTGGATCGGGTTCGAAATGGCCGACTGGCGGCCATTTTGTTTTAAAGAATTCTGTTCTGGATCTGTATCTGAGATATGTTTGGATTGATCGAGTTCAAACTTCACACACACAGTACATCATGTCACAAATATGTATGTGCATTTGTTTCATGATCTGTTTAACAATAGCTGAATGATGGCCATTTTAAGGCCGAAAATGCATCAAAATCACGTATTTTCACAATTCCGGAACCGGATCTCAGTCATGCATGGATGGATTTTGTTCAGATTTAGTACAATGTGTTGTACATATGCAGGTGCATTTCGGTCATGATCTGCTTTGAATGTATATGTCACTCAAATATGAACGGAACGGGGACGTGTCATTGACAATGACTTGTTTATTGTGATTCAAAAGTTTTCATTTTAAAGCGCTACAATTGTGGCAGCACATCATGTTGACGATATGGTGCGAGTCATTACGAAGCTTTTTACAAAGTTGCGTATGATTGGCTACCCAGCCCTTAACAGTCAGACCAATCAGAGAGCAGTTTGTTAACAGTTTTTTTCAACATATATAATATATATTTTGACTCATCTGTATATGGGACCCTTGCAACTGACATTGTTTGTGTATATATATATATGGATATTTGGTCAAAAATGGATCATTATTCAAATAATTGTGCATGGAAATTAATAGATGTCGATAAGGTGTTACATGCATGGCAGGCCTTGTTTTTTTAAGACAAGTGATCACTCCTCGCCTATCACTCACCCATAACAAGACTCCGAGAAGCTGATTATCACTCTCCCAATTCATCCAATCTTGAAGAGATTTTAATAATGCAGTTAGGGAACCATTTATTTTAGAGTGCTTAGGAAAGTCATTATTAGCCCCCAGGTTATTTTCAAAAGCCTATGGTCTGGCTACTACTGTAGAATACTTTATTTTAGCTGGAATTAATTTTCGCTGAAAAGACATTTTAGGTGTTTTGTATGGAATTTATTTTCACTGATTTACAACAAGTTGAATGTAAAATATAGGAAAAAAGGTGTATTCGCTGGATTTTATTTTCACGGAATCATTCCTTCAGCGAAAATAGTGAAAATTAATTCCAAGCAAAAGTATACAGTATACCGGTATATTGAAGTGCAGTCATTGTTAGTTTCTCTTCATCTTTCTTACTCGCTTTCTTTTTTCTGACCAGGATGGAACTTACCATCGAAGAACAGAAGATCCACTTGCCAAGGTAACCTAAAAAAAAAACTACATTGATTTCAAATTATGCTAATTAATATGCATTGTTTGCAGTGGTGTGCTGCCAAGCAGAGGTCGTTTCGATTTTGAACTGAATCCAAATTCAGTAATTGTCATAAACATTATCATTTCTAACCTGTTTAATATCACTGTGTGTATCTAATATATAGTAATTGTAATTATAAAAAATAATATCCGTCTTGTTTCAAAAACTGTTACACTAATTACATGTCTAATAATGCTGTGTTATTCCATATTTTCATAAGGACGGATAACATCAATTTCCCTCAATATTCAGAGGTACAACATACCTGTAACTTTAGTACTATACCAATAACTTCCCCTCCCCCATTATTAAAATCAAGCATGTGAAGCTATGTATAGACTAATTCAATAGCGCCCTCTTTGAACATTTTTGGAGAATCTTACATCAAATTGTTTTGAGGATTTGCTGTTTTTGGAGACGCTGATGTTTTTCTTTTGTAATGTTTGAGTTTGAAATGGATGGGATTGATTCTCCTTATTTTAAAGTACTTTGCTATTCACTGATTGGCTAAATTTTGTGATATTAGTCTTGTGCAGCCAATGAGAAGTTAGGTATTAAGATGTACTGATTTGACTTGTTTGCTTTTTCAACAAAATTATTATTATCTTGTCTGAGTGTGGGTCTTTATTGCTTTTATCCGATTTATTGAATTTTGTTTTAATTTTAAAAATATGCATCTTTATTATATTTTGTTCATGTTAAATTCAAAACAAATAATGTCAAAAAATTATTAGTTGTTCGTACAACAAGATATGATATACATAGGGTGGGTCACTGGCATTCTTTCTAAAATCGCTGCTCCATTTGGCTTACATTTTCTCCTTTATAAGCATTTTTCTGGTTCATTGTCAACAAATCATCTCATACATTGGTTACTTCACTCCTCATCACTCATCTGCATACAGAGAAAACAAGGACCTCCCGTCATGCCAAAACCGGCCAGGCCGCTGCTGGGACCGGTCGGTACCTCATACGCGGGATATTGGAAAGACGATCCAGAGTACGCTCGTAAAGAAGCTTTGCGCATTAGTCGTCTGTCCACCGCCTCAACATTGTCATCACTTAGCCCTCCTATTTCACCAGAGGTAACGATATCAATAGCGTCTTTGCTCACTATATGTACTCTGTGATAACAGCTCGTTGTAACGTGGTGGTGGTGATTATTAGCAGCTGTTTCTTTTGGTTTTAAATTTCTTTTTTTCTTTTGGTGCTGGTGATTCTGTCTCAATTGCTTTTTTGGTCTTTGATTTATTATTATTTTATAAGGTTTTGTTTTTCTTGTGGGTTGCGCTTATTCTTAACATCTTACTTTCTCAACATTTTCATTTTTATTGTCAGTATGAAAATCGCTGAAAAAGTGTAAAGTACAACTTTCCTGAGAACTATACTCTTAGAATGCAGGGCCCAAATATTTTGTAATACTTATTCAAACATCTAATTGACTGACTGAGAAATGCTTGAAACTTCTAAAAATATTTTGCACATTTTTGTTTATTTTTTTCGATTATTATTATCATTGTTTAATTCAGACCAAATGAATACAATTTCTCATTACAGTAAATGTTTTGGTTGAAATTTAAAAAAAAAAAAAAAAAAGAATACATTTATGTAGGTTAATTGTGAAAAATGACATGGTTAAAAAAAGTATATCAGAAACAGTACGGCACGTAACATGTCCAAAATGTAAAATCAAAAACCAGTTAATACCATATCATTTTTAAAACTTATGTATTTGGATTTAATAGATAAGATACAGTGAGATATAGCAATGTTACAACCATATAGAAAAGTTAATGTTTCTATTTCAGTATAGTAATATTTATTATATAACCATAAATAAATTATAATTTTTTTTTTTGGTTTGTTAATAATGAAGTAATACATGGATTTTGAATGCTATTAGAAAGATTCATTTTCAATCATCATGAACATAAAAATGTACATTTCGTTTTATTTGGTTTATTTACATGGCTTCAAATTATAGTATTATAATTTCTGAATTAATTTGAATCCCTCCAATTAATAGTCTAATTTAACTATATATCTGACAGTGTGATGTGAACTGGTGGAGATCATTCCTAACATTAATTAATCACCTAAATCCTATCTTTAAATCTAAATCTTATCTCTTATCTGTTGTGGACACATCTCTCGCCTTTCTAAGTTAAATATTCACATCCTTGACACGCTCTCCTCCAAACTGGTTAGTAGTGACATTCAGGACAAGTTCAAGGTTAATTTCAGTTGCCATTTAGTCCTATGACAGGAATAAGACATTTTTATTTTACAGTTATTGCATAACCAACATTCATATGTTTTGTTTTTGTTGCATGTGTTCGTTTGGTTTTAAATAACACATTTTTGTTTTTTATTTGTTTGCATGCTACATACTAACTAAATGCATGCTGTATTTGTTCAGTAGCCATGTCTCAAGCCAACGACAGTTGCAAACAAATTGTTATTGATATATATTGCATATCTGTGTATAATTATCTTTACAATGATTTTCTACTTGCTGTTCTGTCAAGAATGGGGAGTGTTAAGGGAGGGGGGGAGAAAGAGAGGGTTTGATGTAGGATCTGTGACTGCCATAGTTACATTTTTCATCATTGAAATAGCGTGAAAATGCATGAGGATATCTACGACAGACTTTGTACTTGTATTTTTGCTGGTATCAAATTTCGCAATGAAATGTTTACAATATTTCCTAGACTCAGCAACTAAAAGTTATCTCTGGGAAAATTATTGATTGATGCAGTAAAAACACTGAAACCTTTCTTGGGGTATAATTATCAATGATTAACACGAGTGGCCTGCGTCACCGTGGTAACTCCTCCACTGATACTCTGTGTCTCATGTGCTATGTTTTCACTCTGTTTGGTATACATTATATCATGAGAAAAGGTCAACACAAACTAAAGCTTGTGCTAGTATTTATGCGTGGTAAAAGTCGGGCATATTTCTATTTTTTGAAAAATAATTGTATTATGGCTGATTATTGTTAGCCCTTCCCAACATAACGAGGTGCAATTCGTAGTGCTAGCACCAGATGTGTCTGCCATTGTAAAGTGTGGTACAATCTGATTAAAATCGTGTGCAAGTGGCAGGTCCAGTTGCTTTCAGTTTTTTTTTCAACAGTATGTGTCACTTTTGAATACTGTAAACCAATTTAATTTTCACTGATAAAAATGTCCTATGGTATTCTGTATAAAAACCAAATTTTTTGAAAGTCACTGACACTCTGTGTTGTAGGATCCCAGAGAAAATTTGACTGAAAATTTCACGTTTTTCACTGATTGTGAAATTACACTACATCTGACCAAATAGCTATGCAAACCAATTAGAGCCTTTCTTTCTAGAATGCAAGTTCTGGTCTCTGGTCACTGATACTTGAGTATTTGGTCAGTTGTAGTAATAAGCGATAAGTCGTAACAAAATAAGCTCTTCCCTGATTTGCTAAATCTTGTGATATTAGTTTTGTCCGGCCAATGAAAAGTTATGATTATGATTTTAATCAGATTCAGTCTGGTATAGCCTGTATACTGGGAACACATTAATTTGTACCATGTAATATTTCTAATTATGCCTAGCCGTAGTACATGTACATGCAAAATCAGGAATTTCTTTCCTTTGAAAAAAATAATAAATATGCACAAAACACAAGAATGACTTCCAACACTCATGCTTATTTTTATTGTAAATTTTTTGCAGCCTCCAATTGACAACAAAAATGACCCAATACCAGAAAAATTTTCATTCAGACAAAAACAAAAACATTTTGAGAAAAAAATAGAACAACAAGTTCATCCAGAGTCACTTGACACACAAGGTAAGGTTATTATAATTCAGCATTGCTATCCCATAATGCACTTCATCTTCACAGCTGTTTTGTATTCGATCAGTGTAAACCTTTTCACCACTTTTTCTATTTTTTCATCAGAAAATCAAAATTTTTTGAGTGAAAACTGAAAATTGACTTGTGTGTTTGTTCCAAAATAAGGGTTCATTTCCAGAAATATTGAAGAATAAAAGAAAAAAACTGCCGAAAAAAATTGGGCAAGAAAGTCTGGTAGTGAAAATATTAAAAATGTACAAAGCTAAGAATATTTGGTGGTCATATTTGACATCAAAGTTTTCCTATGAACACAGTTATAATAAGTTGTCTACTCTTGTCCATTATGACTTTTTGGCTGACTATTGTGTGAGAAATAATATCATTCAGCCACCGACTTTTGTGAATGGAGTCTTCTGATCCAAATCTTCAGGAAAGCCCTGCAGTTTTGTTTTTTGAAGGTGACAGATTTTGATAACGGTGCTTAAACTGTGAAAGCTAATATTTCTGTAAATGGATTTCTTACGCAATAACAGTTTAAAAAGAACATACAAGTTTAGATTATACATCCTCATATGGCACCAACAGATTAATTATTTTGACGAGAATCAAAACGTCAAATATTTAGGAAATCTTATGAGGCCCCAAAAAAAGTTTTACCACACCCAGAACAAAAATTTTAAATTGTTTTTCAAAGTTTAACATTTATTTTATAATACTTTTGAATACATGCATTAAAGATTAATTTGAGTCAACAAAACTAATATGATAAAATATGTCTTATTCTGGCAGTGTGTGTGAACCAGACTGTAACTGCACATTTTTCCACATCATGGGAGAGATCTAATCTTGTTAAATCTGATTTTGTATCTCAGCGATCTAATCTTATTAAATCTGATTTTGTATCTCGGCGATCTAATCTTATTAAATCTGATTTTGTATCTCAGCGATCTAATCTTATTAAATCTGATTTTGTATCTCAGCGATCTAATCTTATTAAATCTGATTTTGTATCTCAGCGATCTAATCTTATTAAATCTGATTTTGTATCTCAGCGATCTAATCTTATTAAATCTGATTTTGTATCTCAGCGGTCTAATCTTATTAAATCTGATTTTGTATCTCAGCGATCTAATCTTATTAAATCTGATTTTGTATCTCGGCGATCTAATCTTATTAAATCTGATTTTGTATCTCGGCGATCTAATCTTATTAAATCTGATTTTGTATCTCGGCGATCTAATCTTATTAAATCTGATTTTGTATCTCAGCGATCTAATCTTATTAAATCTGATTTTGTATCTCAGCGATCTAATCTTATTAAATCTGATTTTGTATCTCAGCCAAAAAAATAGCATTAGTCAGCCAAGAGGATCTCGCGAAAATGAGAGAAGAGGAAGATAAAAAAATGATGTCAATGTCTCAGGAAGAACTCTTACGATATCAGAGGGATATAGAATCGCCAGTGACACCCAGTGAGAGGAATGAAGACAACTCCTTTAATAGATCTGGAGATAGCCTTAATGCATCTATAACTAGGTAAGAGCCAATCAGCTACTGGCATTCAAGTCATGTGATGGGTGTGTATTCTTGGTTCCTTGTAGATAAGGTACTCTCGAAGACAGTTTTCAGTTTACCTTACACTATATTGTTAAAGAGCACTGCTGGGTGATAAGATTTTAGTTTTGCTTTAAACTTAGCGTCAAATTGAATATCAAAACGACTAAACCAGCAAAGTGAAATGTCTAAAAGTATCACAATTATGGTACAATCAAACTGCCCATAAATGACAATGTAAAACTTGAAAGTAGGGATATTTTACATGTATAGATTCCTCACAAGTACTCCAAATTTTCATAAATTAAAAGGAATCATTTGTCTAGTTTTTTTAAATCAATACAACCCACAGTCATGAAATTTCCCAAAATAATGCTGATTAAACTACTATACTATTGAAACTATGAAGTTGAACTAGCTGACTACTCACTCTAATTTTATCAGTCCGCGATTTCAAAACATCATGTTTTCACTAAAATTCTAATCAGAAACTCCAGGCTTGGGTATATATTCTTGTATATTAAATAACACCTCGAAATAAAAGTTTGCCATCCCCTGCAAAAAGTTTTTTTTTTTTTTCAAATAAAGAGAATTATTTTGGTGGATGGATGCATCTTAATACAAATTCTTACTGTAGTGTGAAACCTGCACCAATTATTGTACTTTTAATTTTTTTTGCAGCATAAATTGCAAGTAACTTCAATTGAAACATTATGTGCTCAACTGTATTTGTTCTATTAGTAGGACAAATGTATCTGCAGCCAAATTAATATAAGTTGATCTTTAATAATCCAGTATACCATACATGGAATGTTTAATAATTTTGTACAGCTATTAAAGATGCACTTCTGATACAAGCAAAGAAATCTTTTTTTTATTCTGATGCATGAAATCAGTAACATTCGTGACATGGCTTCTGGAATTTAAAAGTTATTTGTCGATGCAATGTTTCATGTTCGTTACAGCGTCCATGTGATGTATACAACGTGTGTAAAATACGACCACTGCTCTTTGATTGCTGAAAATTTCTTGCATAAGTTTGTGTCTAACAATTCTGCCTAGGTGGTAAATCAATGTTTGTGTGCGCAACAGTCCTAGTCGTTGCCGCTTCTAACTCTGCACCGTTGATTTCTTGTAGCTTTAGCTCAATCTCTAGTACGCCAAGTGAAGTGCGAACGGCTAAAGCAGAAAAAAGGTATTTTGAGCGCTTGAAACACGAAGGTGCAGTCAGTCCGAGTAATAGTAGTATGACGTCAGTGACCTCTGAAGAATGTGAAAGGTCGCTGTCTCCTGCGGAAATGAGGGCCTTACAAGCTGAAAAGAAAGCTGCATGGAGAGCTGCTAGGTAAAACTGCAAATCACTAACTACTGTTTCACTCATGTGACTGTGTTTATTGGTCATGTGATGTGTTAAATAATCACTAACTTATGGGAGCTTAAATTGTCATTTGCTCTTGCTAATCAATCATTGAGTAACAATCTATAAAATGACATGGCTGTTAAAATTCGCTAACCTATAAATGAGTGAATCTGTGAAAATAATGATTTGTGTTCATCTGTTTTTTTTTTTATATATAGAGGCTTTATGTGTTGCCTGTTTTTGCCGTCTTTAATGGGTCTATAACCTAGCTGTGATTTAGCGGCTCCAGGGTCATATTTTGTGGACCTTTACAACTGTGGTTCCAATCATGTTGAACAATTATAAAAACTGGCAGCGAATGCATTTCAAACCAACTTTCTAGAATAACTGGTCGGAAAACAAAAATATTATTACAATGTTTATCCAGTTCTATTCCCTCCAGTTTTGATTGTTCGTAAAACTGCTATGTTACTTCTGTGCAAAAGCATAAGAAGTTCTAAGAATTGTTAGCAAATATTGAAGTGCTGGGTGTTATAGGCCAGAAGTAAAATTTTTTAAAAAAGTGAAACAAAAATAATCAAAACTAAAAAAAAAAAAGACTCATTGTTATTATTAGGTCGTAGTCAAGTATTGGAAGTAATTTACATATTATTGTTTTCCGACCAGTTATCTCGTGCAATTGTTTGAAATGTACTCATTGCCAGTTTTTACCATTACTCGTCTCAGTTAGATCCATGGCTTAATTAAACGATTCTACACAAGTACCCTGATTTTCAAAATATACAATAACATCGTTCATTTGTGTTGCCCCAATCCACCTTTCAATGGTTACCAATGTATGTGATTCTATTGGTCGGAACAAGTTTGGTTGATGCTTGATGTTGATGTTGAATTGACGAGGATAAAGATATTCATTGTAGATCACCATGCATGGTTCATACCTTTATCACCGACTACTTTGATTCTGTTGCATTTACATAATGATGTTCCAGAAATGAAATATTAGGTTCAGTCTGCCATAATTTGTTCCTGACATTAATGCATTTTTTTTTTTCATTCGTATCATGTTTTCGGTTTCATTTTACAGACTGGAGATTGTTTTCACTGTGCAGATTTCACTTGTATTAGATTTTCATTATACAATTACAATATTTTTTTTATTGAAATGCTTTTTGTTTAAATCTCTATATAGGATGAAATCTCTTGACGAGGACGCTATGAAGGCACAGATGGTGATAGCGAAGTCACAAGAAATTATTAAAAAAAGTAGTCAATCTAGTTTGAATAGTTTTGGTACTGGTAGAAAAACACCAGAACCCATGCTTGATGGCAAAAACTCAGGTAACTTAATTTACGAGTGTTAAGTCACATGACCTAAAATTCACGATTGTGACTCAGAGAGATATATGGCGATTGCCACATGTGGAGCAGGATATGCTCACTCTTTTCGAAACACCTGACATCACCTCTTGGTTTGTGCCTTGAGGTCCATGTATTTCTCTCACCGATTTGACAGTGTGTTGTTTGTTTTGTTTATGCGTCCCCTGTGTGTTCTCGGATTTGTAAATATTGCCTTTTGACATTGATTGTTTGAATTATAGTTGGGTATTGTTGCTTGGATTTTCACAGGCATTTGTCTATTTCGCATTGGTACATTTCAATTCGCAGGCATTTGTCTATTTCGCATTGGTACATTTCAATTCGCAGGCATTCGTCTATTTCGTATTGGTTAATTTCAGTTCGCAGGCATTTGTCTATTTCGCATTGGTACATTTCAAGTCGCAGGCATTCGTCTATTTTGCATTGGTTAATTTCAGTTTGCAGGCATTCGTCTATTTTGCATTGGTTAATTTCAGTTCGCAGGCATTCGTCTATTTCGCATCGGTTAATTTCAGTTTGTAGGCATTAGTCTATTTCGCATTGGTTAATTTCAGTTCGCAGGCATTCGTCTATTTCGCATTAGTTAATTTCAGTTCGCAGGCATTCGTCTATTTCGCATTGGTTAATTTTAGTTCGCAGGCATTCGCTATTTCGCATTGGTTAATTTCAGTTCGCAGGCATTCGTCTATTTCGCATTGGTTAATTTCAGTTTGCAGGCATTCGTCTATTTCGCATTGGTTAATTTCAGTTCGCCGGCATTTGTCTATTTCTCATTGGTACATTTCAGTTCGCAGACATTCGTCTATTTCGCATTGGTTAATTTCAGTTCGCAGGCATTCGTCTATTTCGCATTGGTTAATTTCAGTTCGCAGGCATTCGTCTTTTTCGCATTGGTTAATTTCAGTTTGCAGGCATTCGTCTATTTCGCATTGGTTAATTTCAGTTCGCATGCATTTGTCTACTGTGGAATACTTTATTTTCGCTGGAATTAATTTTCGCTGAAAAGGCTTTTTGGGCGTTTTGCTTGGAATTTATTTTCACTGATTTTTGATGAGTTTAATATGAAATATAGGAAAAAAAGTATATTCGCTGGATTTCAGTTCTCAGGCATTTGTCTATTTCTCATTGGTACATTTCAATTCACAGACATTCGTCTATTTTGCATTGGTTAATTTCAGTTCGCAGGCATTCATCTCTGGACATTGGTCTATTTATTTTTGGCTCTGTTGATGTCATAATGATTCGTGTGCCTGCCCACCGAGCCATAATGAGATTCAATTCTTCTAGTAAACTCAGATGCTCACCTGACACCAGAAATTTGATGATATTCTTTCAAAGTGTCCTAAAAGGTGTTCAATTATTTCAGACAAAGGCCAATATGTTTTCTTGAGTTTTACAGTTCTATGCTCAAAAGATAACAAATAATTGACCATTTTCCGTTCACTGCGAGAATCACGCGTTATGCGTGAAATCGAACGTAAAAACAGGACAAACAAAGGTCACAGCGTCGTAGTGGCGTCAAACATCGCGTGGGATTCAACAAACGCTTAATAATGTGCTGTCCACATTTGATGATAGGCAATTTCGATTAAGTGAGGGTATTCGGAAGCAATATTCCTCTGTCGAAGATCGGCCGGTCGATGTGAGCTACGAAATAAAGAAATTCGAGTTGAAAATCAAATCGTTCGATTTCTGCAGCAGATGTTCGACGCGCGTCTTTCATGCATCTCGCGAGATCTCGCAATTGTTCGGAAAATCACCTATTACAAATGTTCCTGGCTAGTTGGCATGTTGAACACAATTTTGTGGCAACTGAATATCTCGATGTGAACACAAAACTGTCAGTTCTGTGTGATCTTTCTGTCATTTGTGCTTGTAAAAACATCAGTGTCCTTGTTGTATTAAATAACATATTCTTCTGAGATAACCAGAGTATTTTTAATTAGAACCTGAAAATGTGACGTCCTTGGTGATAGTTTTGACGATTGAGAAAACAAGATTTCACTCGACAGACTCCTGAAGATCGAAAAGAAATTTTCACTACTCAAATTCTCGATTTACCCTGACCCAACATGTGATTTGATTGTGTATTCATAAATTATTTGATCAGACGACAATTTCTCTAACTTTGTTTAAAATTTTAAAAAGTAAAGAGTTTGGGATGCAGCGATGAAAGGTACAATTATGAAAATAAATAACTGACTTATCTCATTAGGTGATAAAAGAGACATGAAACTCGTAATAAATGCCAGAGACGGAGAAACAACGCGAAAAGAACGGTCAAAGGTCATTGACGAGAAAATAACACGAAAAACTGAAGAGTACATTGATGAGAAAACTGGACAACCGTCTATAAGAACAGTAGAAGTTGTTGAAACGACGATTGAGCACGAGGTACGAAGTACGTACCACCTCTAATTGTTATTCTACTAATAAGCAAGATAGTCAAATGATAATTTAACCAGATCGCAAGTCATGAAATTGGGACTACATCACCCAATCAAAAGTCCTAATAGTGACTTCATCACCCAATCACAAGTCCTGATAGTGACTTCATCACCCAATCACAAGACCTGATAGTGACTTCATCACCCAATCACAAGACGTGATAGTGACTTCATCACCTAATCATAAGACGTGATAGTGACTTCATCACCTAATCATAAGACGTGATAGTGACTTCATCACCCAATCACAAGCC